TGTCTGTTGGCCATTTGAATGTCTTCTTTGGTGAAGTGTCTGTTCATTTCCTTTGCCCATTTTTTAATAGGATTATTTGTCTTTTTGTTGTAGAGGTATTGGATTTTGAGAAGGATACTTTTAAGTGCCATCTATCAAGGAGATTTCCACCAAGTTGCTCTTCTAACTTTTTAAATGTATTGACATTAACACCCAGGCCCAGTGCTATTTAGAAGCTGGACCTAATTCTATTTGGCAGCCAAACACAGCACAAATTATTCACAGGTGCAGACTGTGAGGTACCACAGTGCTGAGTACTGGGAGGGTGGGTGGGAAATGACAACATACACTTAAAATTAGAAACTCAAGGTTTCCCCTCTCAAAAATGTGAAATTCAGAAATCTCTAAGTCATGACTGACAGACCCTTTAAGCTGATTGTTTTAGTAGTTCTGTAGGACGAAGACCCAAGGAGGGAGCCTGAAAGCATGGAAGCCAGCCAGGAAGCGACTCTCAGAACAGGGGTCTATCTAAAGCAAGGCCGTCAATCATGTAATCCTTGAGTAAGGGAGTATCCCATGCTACCCTGTGAACAAGGCAACACTAGACTCTGAGGGGCTGGGAGTCCAGCCAGCTTGGCTTGAATCTAGCCACTGCCACTTTTAGTGATGTAAGACTTGGTTTCCTGGTATGTAAAATGGTGAGGGCCAACAGGCAGTCCCTGATGGAGCATGAGAAAAGTGAGGTACAAAACTCAAATTCTAGTAAAAAGACCAGACTTAATGATCTGACTGAGACTGGAGGGACCCCGGAAGACGCGGCCTCCGGACTCTCTGTTAGCCCAGAACCGAAACCATTCCCGAAGCCAAGTCTTCAGACAAAGATTATACTGGACCATAAGACATAAAATGATACTCGTGAAGAGAGCGCTTCTTAGCTCAAGTAGATACATGAGACTAAATGTGCAGCTCCTGTCCGGAGGCAAGATGAGAAGGCAAAAAGGGACAGGAGCTGGCTGAACAGACACGGGAAATCTGGGGTGGAAAGGAGAGTGTGCTAGGGTCACATAACGATGTGTGTATAAATTTTTGTATGAGAAACTAACTTGAACTGTAAACTTTCACTTAAAGCACAATAAAAAAATAATAAAGTGGCGAGGGCAAAACTGGGAGAATTCGTTATATTACACAAAGTGCAACAGTCACTGCTCTTATTAACATCTACAAATCTTAAACAGAATTTCAAGGGGGGTATCGAGACAGTTAGGTGGTGCAACTTTGGTTAATGTGCTCGTCTACTAACCAAAAGGTTGGAGGTTCGTGTCCACCCAGAGGTACCAGGAAGAAAATCAGCCTTTGAAAACCCTATGGAGCACAGTTCTACTTGAACACACATGGGGTCATCACGAGTCGGAGTTGACTCAACAACAACAGGTATCCATGTAGTTAGCCCTATCTTCCAGCCCTAACAAGTTCAAATATTTGCTTAACAGAAGCCAGTAACTCTTATCTGGCCTAGACTAGAGGCAGATATTCTGGTCCTCATATATCTACAGAGTAGGAAATGATCATAGAAATACAACCCACTTAGCAAAACAAAATGCTTCCTTCCGGAGTGATCAGAAGTCACACTGGGATCATGCACTACCTGCCTGGGTCAGCATTACAAACACTAACACTAAGTGTCCTGGCAAAACACAGATGCATCAAAGTATACCTCATCTACCCAAGATACAGTTAATAACCTGGACATAAGCAGAGGAAAAACTCATTTGGCAGTGAAAACTGATTTGACAACAAGTCAAATCCTTCCTCTTGGCTCAGGCAGGGGATTGACAGATAAATACAGGTTTGTCACAAGGTCTATGTATTAAAAACTTGCTTTGTTTACATAAATGAAGGGAGTGATGTTTAGGCTTTTAATAAGAACTTTCTGACATCCCCCTCACACAGACCTCAGACACTGGGTGAGAAGATTTCTAACATCATGTTAGAAGTGGCAGAATAGAAAAGATTTAGCTCCTCCTGACAACAGTGGGCATGACTGCCTAACGAACACAAAGAAGAAAAAGTGTACCAGCAGCACAAAGTTACCTAACAGCCACGGGGCAGCCAGGAAGGAGAGAGGCCGCCAACCACATCTTGCCAGGCTGCAGGGTAAACCTGTATTACAGATAAGCACAAAACAAACGCAAATAAAATAAACCTGAGTGACTATTCAAATTTAAATTACCTTTAGAATATCTGTTTCCAGGAAGCAGGGCACAGTACACATTTTCAACCTCTCCATCCCAAAGAGGGAGTGGTTTGGGTCTTCCAGGCAGGACTCAGTGGAGATTCCTCCGGGCCCTGCTCTCCAGTACTGCTCCCTCGCCCCACCTCCAGACGCACCCTAGCCCTCCTCCACAGTGAGGTTTCGGGGCCCTCCCAGCCCACTCCCCACCATGAGGAGGAGGGGCCGCCCACCTGCCCTTCTGTGCTCACATGCTCTGGTGGCTTGACGGTGAGAACCCTCACTCTACTGAGTGTCTCTCCCAGCCGGCTAGGGAGTCCCACACCGTGGAGAGACTTTCGTGCCTCTAGTGCCCAGGCATGTTGTTTGGAGCTAAACCCAAAAACCAGTTGCTGTGAAGTCGACTCCGACTCATGGTGACCCTACATGTGTCAGAGTAGCACTGTGTTCCATAGGGTTTTCAATGGCTGATTGTTTGGAAGTAGATCACCAGGCCTTTCCTCTGAGGCGCCTCTGACTAGACTGGAAACTTTCGGTTAGCAGTTCATTGCATTAACTGTTTATACCACGCAGGGGTTCAGAGACCCTTAATGTTGAGTGAATGAATGAAAAGAAAACTCTGCCCACCTCCCACAACTGAACCCCTGGCCACCAGATAGTTACAGTTTTGCAGACCTTTAAAGCAGAGATTCTCACCTAGGGGCCCAGAGATTCTTCAAGGGGGTTACGAAGCCCCCACACAGGGTTAGGTATGTGTTGAATGTTACCAGCTTCTTTTAAAGGCTGTGATCCTGAAATGGCTGGGATCTGGCGCTGGTCTCTGTTGCCACCTCTCACTGTGTGTGGTTCTCCCTCTCAACTGCAGCTCTGCCAAAATGAAACACCTGCTTCCTTCACTTGTCATCTCTCTCATCATAACATCTGCATGTGGGGGGAACATGGGCCTGGGGGAACAGCCTGGAGAAGGCAGAGAGCGCTCCAAGCCTGAAAATCCACAGTGGGAACAGCTAACCAATAAAACCCTGGGCCTGCCCCTCCTCCCCGCTGACTTCCACAAGGAGAACACAGTCACCAATGTCTGGATCCAGGAGGGGGAGGAGGATGACGACTACCTGGATCTGGATAAGATACTCAGCGAGGATGATGACTACATCGATATCATTGACGCGGTCTCACCCATGGACTCAGGGGCGAGTGCCGGCAACATCCTCCAGCTCTTCCAAGGCAAGAGTCGGATCCAGCGCCTGAACATCCTCAATGCGAAATTCGCCTTCAACCTTTACCGAGCCCTGAAGGAGCAGGCTGGCACCTCTGAGAACATCTTCATAGCGCCTGTTGGCATTTCTACCGCAATGAGCATGATCTCTTTGGGCCTGAAGGGGGAAACTCACCAACAAGTACACTCGATTTTGCATTTTAAGGACTTCGTCAATGCTAGCACCAAGTACGAGATGCTGACTGTCCACAATCTCTTCCGCAAGCTCACTCATCGCCTCTTCAGGAGAAACTTTGGTTACACGCTACGGTCAGTCAATGACCTTTACATCCAGAAGCAATTCCCCATCCTGGAGGACTTCAAAACCAAAATAAAAGAGTATTACTTTGCGGAGACCCAGCCAGCTAACTTCTCCGACCCTGCTTTCACAGCGAAAACCAACAACCACATTCTGAAGCTCACCAAGGGCCTCATCAAAGATGCTCTGGAGAATATAGACCCAGCTACACAGATGATGATTCTAAACTGCCTCTACTTTAAAGGTAAGAAATGGCCTTACGTTCCCCAAAGCAAAACCACAACATACTCTTTTAGTACGTAGGTGGCTTGAATGCCAGGAACCGTATTTATCCATAAAACCAAGCACATGGTCACTTCAAAGGCCAGGGACAGCGAGGGCCATGATGAGGGGACACTGGCGGCTGACATTTACTGAGCCCTTACTCCACGCTTGAAGCTCACTTCATCCTCACACCAACTGTGCGAGGGTGTCACTACTGTCAGTGTCCCCAAGGCACAAAACAAGTAAAGGGACACTCTAAGGGCACACAGCTGGTGAGTAGTGGGGCCAAGTGGGGACCCAGGCAAGCCATCTCCAGCATGTGAACTTTTAACCACTTTGTCAAAGTAGAAGAAATAATGCAAAAACCTGTTAGCATTTGGCCAAATGGATTTGAGTTTTTTTCTTTTCCTTTCCCCATTTTCAATAAGCAAAAACGTAGACAAAAGGGTGAAGAATGTGTCTGAAAATCGTTTAGCTTGAGTAGCTGATGTTAACACCTACAGACCTCTTTCGGGTACTTTTTCAATAATGGGCAGGTAGGGGTGGGAAAATAAACAAATGTTCTCACACTATTCTGGGCCAGGTATGAGGGCACTTTTAGGGAGGTTACCCACCTCTGAAAAGGACTACTGGAATCCTAGGAATAAATGGGTATGGGTTTGTAAAGACGAAGCCTTTCTTGAGAAAAGCCCTCACTGGGACCTAAGCCAGAAGAAAGCTCCATTTCACTCCACAAGCCTAGAATTCTGGAAGGCAGACACAAGGTATGGGTGTGCATCAGAACCAGTCACCGTAACACACAACTGTTTCTCCTCTTCGCCACCAAGACCTATGAGGTAGCAGCTACGGTCAGTCCCTGAGGACTCTGGGGACCAACAGTTCCCTGGCTAGTTAGTTCCAGTGCAGTTTTACAGCAGCAGCCCAGAGGTGTAAAGGCCAGAGACCTTTTCACTGACTTCTGCTTTGGGGAAGTGGGGTCAGAGCCACTCATAACTGGTAAACACACCTGCTCAGTGCCCAAGCTGAAGGCTTCCCACCAGGTATATCAGGCAGGCATTCCACCAGGTGGGAAAATTTGGGCTGAAGAAGCCAGGACACAGGAGTGGCCTGGAGTGGTGAGATCAGAACCCAGTGCTCCCCCATCCTCAATCTCCAGGCAGGGTAGAACCACAGCCTGAGTCTCTAACAGGCTTGTGAGGCAGACAGACACACGATATACATATGATGAACATAAAATAAACTAGCTGCCATCAAGTCAACTCCAACTTGACCCTATGTGTATAAGAGTAAACTGTGCTCCACAGGCACATTTCCGTGGCTGTAGATCACCAAGTCTTTCTTCCAAGGTGCCTCAGGGTGAGCACGAACCTCCAACCTTTTGGTTAGCAGCTGAGCGTTTTAACCATTTGTGTCATCCAGGGACTCTATGACGAGCATATACACATCCTTTTTGTTACTGGTTATAAGTGCAAGTTTTAGAATTAAGCAAACCTGAATCTAAATCTTTGATTCACCATTTCTTATTCATGTGACCTCAAGGTGAGTTGCTTAATTTCTCTGTGACTCAGTTTTCTCAACTTGGTCATGGAGATGGTAGCACCACCCTGAGGGGGCTGCAGTGAAGACTACAAGAGACAATAGTGCAATGGTTAGTGAAGTGTATGGCATACGGTGAGAGTTTAAAGAACTTGAGTGAGACCAGATTAGTGTAATAGGTGCAAACGGTTAAGCGTGTGGCTGCTAACCAAAAGGCTAGCAGTTCGAGTCTACCCAGAGGCACCTCGGAAGAAAGGTCTGGTGATCTACTTCTGAAAAATCACCCACTGAAAACCCTACGGAGTGCAGTTCTACTCAAACACACATGGGGTCGCCATGAGTCAGAGTCGGCTCGATCTAACTGGTAGTGATTTCAATATGATATTAAGTACACATGATATTTCTAGTGATGTTTATTTTACTTCTATGAGCAATTAATCTCTGCATAGGAATGTCTTCTGAGCAGGCCAGTGAAAGACATTTTGGCAGCACCAAACTTCTCAGTCCCAGAAATCTGTCGGGTGCCCCTAAATACATCTAACAGCCTTCATGTTAATCCTGCCAGGTGTTCGTTCAAGGGCAGGCAGAAGAAAACAGCAGCAAGCAGCCCCGCCAGCAAAGGGCTGGAGAAACAACTAGGCACGGTCAGTTTATAATCTCCTGACCACAGGAACTAGTACCACTTAACTTAGTGCCAGTAATCAGAAGTGGTCAACTGCTAGTAACACCCAATCTTTCACAGATGCTTGTCAAAGGAGAGGAGAGTCTAAAAGTGTTCATTTAATCTCTAGCTCCCAAATCTCTGTTACTAATTTGATTTTAATTTCAAATGTTATAACCACCTTGTAAACCACAATAAAAAGAAGTTGAGCCTCAGGAGGAAGTCAGAGGACAGAATCCCAGAAGACACAGGACAACTCCATCAGAACTAGGTAGAACAATGATTCTCAATCAAGGGCAACTCTTCTCCCGGGGAAAATGTCTGGAAACATTTTTGGTTGTTACAACTCTGGGGCTTCGGGGGCAGCACTGCTGGTATCTAGATGCTAAACATCCTACAATGTACAGGACAGCCCTCCACAACAGAGAATTATCTAGTCCAAATGTCCACAGTGCTGTGGTTGAGAAACCATGGGTGAGGAACAACAGCTGGAGGCAGAAACTCAGGGAGACAGCAGCCCAGCACAGCCACAGGCAGGCGAGGCCACTGGGGAACTCAAACCTCCTCGCAAGGAACCCCCTGCTCATCTCATACCAATTGCTCTACCCACCGGCTGGGAACTTTGAACAAGCTACTTCATTTCGTTGAGCCTGTTTCCTCATCTGTAAAATGGAGACAGTAATAAAAAGTACCTACTTCAGATAGTTGCTTGGAGGAAAAATGAGGTATTACAGGAACAGCAGTCATCTCTCATTCTTAATTACTAGTCTCTTAGACACTATTTTCAATCCTATGGGGGACAGTTCTACTCTGTCCAATAGGATTGTTATGAGTCGGAATCAACTCGACAGCAGGATTTTTTTTTTTTTTGGTTTGTTTGTTTGTTTTAGACACTATTTTCAGAGCTAAAATAGATCTTCACTTATTCCTAGATACACAGCATTGTATCCGAATCTAGAGTAAAGATCTTGATGGCAACCATCACCAATGTGTCCTGTGGGTCACTACAGGGTCACAGAGCGTGAGAAATGAAAACCATCACATAGGGAGAAAATGAGCTCAAAGCTGCACATTTTACAAATGAAGTAGAGATCCAGGCTAGTGAAGTGTCTACCAGAGCCAAATAACTAGTGAGTATGGGAATCTAACCCAGAGTCCACCCCAGGCTAACCACTCTACCATTGCTGTGAGCTGGCATTCTCACCTTCTGGGAATCCTCTAAGATAGTGGTTCTCAAAGTGTGGTCCCTGGATCAGCATCAGAGTCACCAGGGAGATTCTCAGCTGCCCCAGACCCGCTGCATGAGACTTGGTGGTGGGGGTGGGGGGGTGTTGCAGTCTGCATTTGAACAAGCCTCTGGGGATTCTAGTGCTCACTCAAGGGCAAGAACTAGCGCTCTAAAATGGCACTGTAACAAAAGTCTGCTTCTGGCGAATTCACAGGCTCCTGGGTGAACAAGTTCCCAGTGGAAATGACTCACAACCACAACTTCCGGCTGAATGAGCGGGAAGTGGTCAAGGTGCCCATGATGCAGACCAAGGGGAACTTCCTGGCAGCGAGTGACCAGGAGCTGGACTGCGAAGTCCTCCAGCTGGAGTACGTGGGGGGCATTGGCATGCTCATTGTGGTCCCCCACAAGCTGTCAGGCATGAAGACCCTAGAAGCACAGCTGGCACCCCAGGTGGTGGAGCGGTGGCAGAAGAGCATGACAAACAGGTACTATGGGCTGGAGGTGTGACTTCTGATCTGGGGGGTGGGGGGACAGGAATGCTGGGACTTGGTGATTTTAAGAAAAGGGGAGGAGTGTGCATAAATATCCAAGAATGGCCAGACCGGCAGTCTCTTAATTCGGCAAAATTTCTTGCTTGGTGAGGGATGATCAGAGAGCTTTTGTAAGAAATACATCTGCTCTCCAAAATGAGTTTCAAAAGTTAGGGACAGGTGACTTAGACTTTCCTTAGAGACAATGCAGCTCTGTCACATGCTTGCTTTGTGCTCTAAGCAAAGGCTTCATCTCCTGCAAAATGGGGACAATCCCACTACTTCCCAGGGTTGCTCTGAGAAGTAAACAGTGTGAGCAATGTCGAACACCCCTCACAGTACCTGGAACCTAGCAGATGTTCAACAAAGATTAGCCTTCCCCTTCCCATGACCAAGAAATCCCAAGGTCCTCTTAACCCATTAAGAGAATCCATAATTTTCCTCTATTACTTCTTACTCCATCGTTGAAACTACAGGTTTAAAAAAACACACTAAGGTTAATTATTGGAACAAAGTCCCTGGAAGGTGCAAATGGTTTGCACTTGGCTACTAACCGAAAGGTTTGTGGCTTGAACCCACTCAGTGGTGCCTCAAAAGAAAGGTCTGGCAATCTACTTCCGTAAGATCACAGCCACTGAAAACTCTATGGAGCACAGGTGTACTCTGACACACATGAGGTCACTATGAATCGGAGCTGACTTGATGATGACAGGTTTGGTTGTGGTTATTATCGGATGATGGCAGAAAGAACGGAGAAGTCTTCTTTCTGTTACAAGATACTGGCTGCTGTCGTCAGTTGGCCATCAAGTCAATTCTAACTCATGGTGACTGCATGGGTGCATAACAGAACTATGCTACCTAGGGTTTTCAAGGCTGTGACCTTTTGGAAGCAGACTGCCAGACCTGTCTTCCCAGGTGCCTCTGGGTGAGTTACAACCACCAACCTTTCAGGGATCAGTCGGGCACTTAATCGTTTGTACTACCCAGGGCCTTGGGATATAGGCTAGGCCCATATTAGGGAGAGAATCTGGGTCTCCTTATAAAACAAGAATACAAAGAAATGCAGCATACTGAGAAGCAGGCTCTTACAGGAAGCTCTTTGCTCAGGTAGCCAGTTAGTCATAAAGCCCCGCTGATTCTCCTTAAAAATGTCCCTTCTGTAACTGCCTCTCTTTCCTAATCTCACTGCCCCATGGCCATGGCCTTGATCCAGAAGAGGCTTAATCAGCCTGCCCATTCTATCCCTCAGTCTCCTTGCCCCTTAGATATCAGATTTCTGATCCCAAGACTCCAGTCCCTCCACCTTCTTCTCTAAGCTCTCTGTTTGGACCTCTCCCTGCAGGGCAGTCTGGGCACAGCTGGGATCAATCTGCTTCTCCCCCCTTCTAACTTCCTCCCCTGCTCTGCACAGCCTGCACTCCCACCAGACCCTCAGGCCAGCTCCCTTCAGCTAGCCTCACTCAGCAGCAAGCCCACCCCACCTTCCAAACCTTGGCCAACCTCAGGCCACAGGACATCCCTCCTCCACAGGGCATCCCTCCTCCACAGGGCTTCCCCCTGGATGAGACCAATTCTAGTTATTCAGTCTTCTTAATGTAGCCTCTTTGCATTTTCACTGTTTCTCATTTGTGAGTCTTGGGGCCAAACAGAAAGCAAGCTCTTACTTCTCTCTCTCACCCCTCAAGAGTCGGGTGCAGCTTCACAGGCACCACAGCTGCTGTTGTCAATTAGGAACTGACTAAGCTGAGGCCAAGCAGAGCATTGAGCACCATGTGGATATGGAGGACTGTTTTTTCCGTACACTGACCTTAATTAACGAAGATGCCTGAAACCAGGGAACCAAATGACAGAACCCTTTTAGATACCTTTGCAAACATAAACTCTGTATAAACCACAAAAAGTTCTACTGCTGGCCTTGCAGACAGGGAACAAATGACACAGCACCAGGAGGTGACCACACAGCAATCACGTATCCCAGTGTTATGGAACTGGACTTACAAAAGGACGATCTTTCAAGAATCCTTGTTGACAGCATGGGTTAAGGATTTTAACAAGTGCTGTGTCAATTCTGTAGTCCTGTTGGCTTAGTGGTTAAGAGCTCGGCTGCTCACCAAAAGGTCGGCAACTCATATCCACTAGCCCCCCTTGGAAACCCTTTGGGGCAGTTCTACTCTGTCCTATAGAGTAGCTATGAGTCGTAATCGACTCGAAGGCAACGGGTTTTCATGGGTGTCAATTCTGGGGTAAATGCAACCCAGAGGGGTCAACTGCGGACATTTAAAGATAAAACCATTAGTTCTTTCGTAACTTGTGAAATTTCCTGTGGTTGAATAACACTGGGCCCCCCTTTCTTATATTCCAGAACAAGAGAGGTGCTTCTGCCGAAATTCAAGCTGGAGAAGAATTACAATCTGGTAGAGGCTCTGAAGTCAATCGGGATCATAGCGCTCTTTGACAAAAATAGCAACCTCTCAGGAATCTCCCAAGATAAGATCACCATCGACCTGGTAATCTCTCCCTCAGCTCCCTCTGCCCCTCCCCACACACCCAGCCTGCTCCCACGTGTACTTGCCTCTCGGGCCCCACTGCAGCTTGAGCTTGCAGGGCAGTGGGCTAGGTGCTGCCTCACTGGGCCTGGCTGGTGCACAGCATGTCACTCCCATGGGAGCATGCCTCGTTCCACAGAGGGTGGCCGGGGGACACTGTGCCTGCCTGGCAGGCCAATCCAGGTGCGTAAGAGGCGGGGAAGTCACGAGGCACAGCCCTGGGGCAGCCCCTGTCCTGCTGACATGAGAAAGAGCAGACACATGTGTGCTCCCTCTGTGACACATGCCCTCTCAGCTGCATCATGACCGAACCTTCAGATAAACATGAAGAAACCACACTCCAGGTACATTTAACCAACACGCACTCAATGAGAGAGCAAGCACCTGTCCAAATCATACAGCAGGTCCAGGCCCCCTTCTCACGGACATGGGCCCCAGAGAGTGAGAATGAGATGGAGACAGACCAGGCCCCCTTCTCAAGGACAGGCACCCCAGAGAGAATGAGATGGGGACCAGGCATCCTTCTCATGGACATGCACCCGAGAAAGTGAGAATCAGATGGGGACAGACCAGGCCCCCTTCTCATGGACGTGCACCCCAGAAAGTGAGATTGGAGGGTGGGTCCCTTGTCTCGGTTCCACAGGCCTCTTGTGCTGCGCAAGCTGCAAGAAGTGAATGTGATTCTAGAGTTTAAACACAAGTATTTTTGCACAACACGGCCTCCACATACAATTATCGTACTTGACAGGCACCTAGACACTTTCAAGGGTACTTCTGACCAGTTGTGAGTTTTGCTTTACTTGTGATCTTTAGACCCTTTCACTCAATGAGGCGAGCCTGACTAGATACTGTAAGCCATCCTATGGAGTCTGACAACTCTCCATTCCGTCCACAACAGTTCAAGCACCAAGGCATCATCATGGTGAATGAAGAGGGCACCGAGGCAGCTGCTGTGACCACAGTGGGCTTCATGCCACTGTCCACCCAGGTCCGTTTCACTGTCGACCGCCCCTTTCTGTTCCTGGTTTACGAGCACCGAACCAGCTGTCTGCTCTTCATGGGGAGAGTCACCAACCCTGTCAAGTCCTAAAGGTGGAGCTCTGGGCAGCTGCAGCATTTTACTGGCCAGGCACGCTGTGATTGTGTGTCCATTCTAACACGACAATGGAGATGTCTGGCATTGTGACACTTGTGATTTATGCTACCAATCTGAAATCGAGGCCAAAAGGAGAGAGGAAATTCACTAGCGACTGAGAAGTTCATGGGAATCAATACTGCGTAGTGAACAGCACCGTAAGTTGATAGAAGTCAACGTAACCAGGTGTTACCTAGAGGGTCTCAGCAAGAGGGTGAGCTCTTGCCTCCACACTTACAGAGTGTGTTCTTGGGCACCTCCTTCCCTGGCATTCCCTGTTCCTCAGCCGGGGCTCCCCATCTGAACACGGAACACAGAACTGAGTTGCAGGACTCATTCCTCAGCTCTCTCAAGTATGGTACACAATCAGCACCATTTCTGATACACAGGAAAGGAGGCCTGTGACATACACAGGATGCCTAGGGCATAAAGGCTTAATCCTCTCTGGACTCGGCCTTCCAAACTGATGCACAATGTCATCTGTGCCTCTTGCTGTCACCTCACAGCTGCCCAAAGGAGAGGGTATACACATAGCCATGTTTTTTCCCCCTTAGAGATAAATAAATATAACCACTTCTACCACGTATCTGTTACAATTCTATTTTTGAAGCTCAAGTAATGAACAAAAGTCAAATTGAAAACAGGTGAAATCCGCAGGAATGCTAGAGGTTGGCATTTCTACACATGGACCAATGTGCTCCAGGCTTGCTTTCAGGACTACAGTGTCTAGTGTTCTGTGAAGCACTCGGTCCAGTGTAGCTATAGATAGGGTTCAGAACTCCGTGTGGTACACGTGGGATTCCAGAAGCAAGTGCCGCACTCTGCACAGGGCACACCCAACCTATTTTACGTACCTTGGACACAGTACAACAGAGTGAGACCCAGGTGTGGCACTGTAGTGAAGTGGCTTTAGATAAGGTAGACTGTCTTAGGCTTGGTTCTCTAGATAAGCAAAACCAGTAAAGCGTACAAATAGAGAGATTGTAGAGGCTGGAATGTCCCAAGTCAGTGGAACAGAATAGAGGCTTCTCTCAATTCATGTAGCTGCAGGGGCCGGTGAATCCAAGATCAGTAGGTTGGAGAGCAGGGCTCTTGCTCACAGGCTGTGAAGATCGACAAATCCCAAGATCAGCAGATAAGATGACAGCTCAAGTCCCAAGAACTGGAGGTCAGACAAACAGGAGGTAGCCACAGGATCCAGAACAAGCAAAAAGCCAGAACGTCTGCTTATATATGGATGCAGGCCACACCCTCAAGGCAGCTCCCTTTCAACTGATTGGCTACTCACAGTAGATTCCATCATGGGAGTGATCAAAAATAAACACCCAGAATCATGGCCCAGCCAAGCTGACACACAATCTTAACCATCACATAGGTGATATCTGAAGAATGTGTTTCTGGATTGTTTACTCCCTGGGTCAGACAAATGAGTTCACAATTCAAGGGTGCAACGATTCTCCTGTGATGGGGCTGATGGACAGTGATGGCAACAGCCCCCACAAGCTGTGCATGTGCACGTCATCTAAGTCTAACCCTCGGCCCTGCAGGGAGGCCTCTCTATTCTGCAGATGAGGAAAGCACAGTTTGGAAAGGCTCAGCAACCTGCCAAGAGGCGGCTGCAGCGAGTAGGGAGTCAGGATTAGTGCTGGTTGGCCTGACTCCAGTGCCTGTGCCACTGGCAGTGAATGCTTCTGACTGATGACACCAATGCCAGCAATGGTGGCAGCAGCGGGAAGAGCCGTGTGCTCCTACCTGACCTTGTGCTGGCACCAGGGAGAGTGTGCCCGCAGATCACCTCACCGAGCACACACGTCAACCCTCTGAGTTAGGCACTGTCCTCATGGCCTTTTTACTTTAAAAGCTCACAGAAGGGATATGATTAGCCCAAGGCCCCAAATTCAGCATGTAACTGGGCATGAATTCCAGCCCAGGCCAGTGGCACCTAGAGTCTGAGCTTTGGCTGCTAACTATCTCCCTGCTCCCTTCCTCACTTCTTGTACTCTGTGCCCAGTATTCTACTGAAAACTGACCAGAACAGGCTAAGGCCAAACCTTTCCCTGCCACATCCTCTTGGCCTTTTAGTGAAACCTTATGTTGCTGACGCCCCATTCCTTGAATTCACTCTCTGATTCACTGCAAGAACGCTGTTTTTTGCTGGTGCTTGTCCTATATTTCTAACTACACATTCTTGCCTTGCTGCTGGTTCGTCTTCTTCTTCTCATTCCTCAACGTTGTTTTCTCAAAAACTCTGCCTTTATGCCTTTGCCATGTCTGTCCCCTACCAAAGAAGGCCACAGTCTCATTTCCACTGTCTACTCTGTCAGTCCCTGCTAGGGCCAGGCCAGGCTCCACCACGACCCCTGGACTGGTCAGAAACACTCCAATTTTCCATGCTTTTTGTTCATCTACATCCACTTGGAATGCGCTTTGACCTTCTGTCACAGAAGATGCCTGCCCATTCTTCAAGGCAGTAGAATACCAAGAGCGCAAATTCTGAACCAGGCTGCCTGGGTTCGAGTCCTGACTCCAACACTTCCTGGCTGGGGGACTTTGGGGCAAGTTACTTCTCGGTGCCTCCGTTTCCTCATCTGTAAAACAGGGATAGTAACAACACCTTCCTCTCAGAATAGTTGTAAGGATTCCATGAATTTCTATCTGGTGCGCAGACAGAACTTAGCCCAGGGGCTGCTAACTGGGGGTCCCTACAGGGGCTTCCCCAATGAACTTCCTCAAGTTAAATGCAAAACCCTGCGAACATACACATTTCCACGAAGAGAGTATGCACAGCTTCCGAAGGGGGCCATGACCTGAAACATGTTAGTGCCCAACCTCATTTCACAGGCACCGGGAGCATAAGTAACCTGCCCAAGGTCACAACAGCAACTGGTAGCACAGGTGAACCAGCTCTAAGTGAAGTCTACAATCGTTTCCCAAGCAGGAGGCACATCTCATTAAATCACAACATTAAGACAGTAGAGCAGCTAGGTCTCTGAGTGTTAGGCACATTTCAAATGCTTCACTAATTAATGGGCTAGATGCCAACAAGCAATTTCATCAATGAGATTCAGAAGTAGTATTATTCACAAAGCTGAAGGACAAAGATCTCCAAGTCTAAGCGTGGAGGAACCTCAGGGTCATCTAATCAGCTGCCTGGCAGTTCCTCCATGTTCCCAAGGCCACGCTGACGTGTGAGCTGCTGGTTTAGGACCAAACCCAGGCCCCTGCCCCAATCCACTGGTACTTCCACCAAACAGAGTAATTCAAGACATTCTGTCATCAAAAGATCAAAAACAGAGTATCTTTTTCTTAAAAAAAAAAAAAAAAAAAAAAAACGCAATGCATGAAAGAAAACCATGTTTAAAATTAGTTTCTCCAGAAGGTGCAAGGGTAACCACAAGGCAAATGCAAGAGCCCATGTTCTCTGTGCTCCTTGTTGAGCAATAAAGTCAAATATTTGTTACCTACCCCATAATATAACCATTAACTTCTGTTAAAAACACAGTACTTGGTCTATTCATGTAAAAGGTCACAGCAGTGGAGAAAACATGAGTGTTTTAAGTGAGTGTGTTGACCTGTCACATGTAACAGGCCGACAACAGTCATGCCTACAGTGACTGGTGCCACTCTGCCCTAGGTCCTGTGCGGGGCACGTCATGGACATCAGCTCTATCTTTACAAGAAACTCCGCTGGCAGAGCAGGATCAGAGAGGTGAAGACGCTCACATGGGGTTGCACAGCAGACCCAGGATTCCAACTCCAGCCCATGCAACTGTAAACCTGTTGCTCTCAACTACACCAGCCATTGCTCCCAAACATGTGTAAAGGCGCCCCCGTAGATTTCCTCTGTGCATTTATTAACCTCCATACGACAATTGCTAAACATCCTTGAAAGCTCACAGGAATAAGGGTCCTAGAATTATGGCGTTCAAAGATCCTGGAACTCACTGATTTGAGTGTCACCCCAAACACCTGCCCTCTCAGTCCTAAAACTGCTCTCCGGGAAAGCCGACCACTGGCCTGTTCTCCCTCCAGAAGGTGGCCCCGCTCAGCAGGCCCAGAGAATACCAGGGGACTCATGTCCCTTACCTTCCCCTCCAGGTTCCTTGTACAACGGCACTTCTAAAACACAACAGTATACTAGTCAAGATTCACGATAAAGTAAAAAAATTATGTCTCTAAAAATTATCCACTAAAGGGTGTTGATGAAAAACACCTTTGTAGAGAGAGTCCCAGAAAACCTCAAATTATTCAAGGGCCATGGGAGTACACCTGGTTACAGATACAAAGGTGGCAAGGTTCCCAGGGGAACGCAAAGAGGCCATCACACTGCAAGCCCACCCACTTTGTTTCCTCAAGGCGCTCGCAAGCCTCCCAGCCACCCATGATGACGACAGCTGTCTCAATGAATTCGTCCTCCTGAACCAACCAACTTACTTGGGGAAGGATGGGGAGAAAAGGACAGCAGACAGGCAGAAGGATGGCGGCCGGGAGCAGAATATTCCGTAAGATACAATATGTGACAGGTTATTATTAAAGATAGATAATAATAAACCAGTCTATCCTGGCCAACTAAAACTGGACACACATGTACATGCTAAAGACTCAAATCGGTGAGGCTAGGGTGGGTGGGAAGGGAACCGGGAAGTAGAAGCAAGGCAAGAAGGAAGAGATGGGTGAGGTGGAAGTGAGTGAATAATGGATGGGAACAAACACCAGAACACAGAGGCCCTGGACTTAGGACTGGGAATGACTGAAAAATGGAACAACTTCTATAGAGGTCACCTGGGAAGAGCTCGGCCAGGCTGAAAACAGGACAAGACGGGGAGGGGCTCCCCATCACTGCTCATGGCGGCAGGAGGCAGAGCTGCACTGGGAGCCATGGTAGACAGGGCTGGGCCCGCAAGTATGCCCAGTCCATGCCATTCCAGTAACCCCCCCAGGAGACTGTGGGCTGCAGCTCCAAGCCTGAACCCCAACAACGGGGCCTGGAAGCCTCATCTCACCGGAAGAGGAAGGGGAAGGGGTGGAAGCAGGCCCAGCACAGGATGAAAGGATGAAAGTCGGGATCAGGGATGGCCTAGGAGCCAAGAAAGAAGGGAAGGAAAGCAAGCTCCCTGGTCAATGAACTGTGGGGTTCAGGGAGGCGGCAGAGAGAGTAGAGAAGCAGGGTGGCTACAGCCAGCACACACCCACAGGACTGTCACAGAAGAGACTGCTGCATGTCACCAAGCAACAGTCATAATGTGAGCACAGTATCTGGAGTTTTAGATGATTCAATCCATGAATACTCACCACAGCTATTACAGGAATGAGCACTCCCAAGTTCCCCGCGCTGCTGGAGGCCTAGAAAAGAACAGTCAACGTCACTAAAGAGCACGTACTTCTTTTGTTAAAAAGCCAAAACACAGTGTTAGGTAAAGCTAGAATTCCTTAACCTAAAAGACACCATGAGGGATATATACAGAGAGAGATGTATAAAGACACATAGTTTTTACAGCAAAAAAAAAAAAAAAAAACACCAGAAACAACTTAAGGTCAAAGAGTAGGATGGTTACATAAACCTTGGTACTTCTGCATAATTAAATATCACGTGGCTGTTAAAAAGACAAGTTTCTGAAAAATATTTAGTCACTTAGAAAGCGCCCACAGCAAATGTTAAATGAAAAAAAAAAAGGATTCAGAAGAGTAAGCTGAGATACAAGCCTAATTATACAAAATAAATATATATATGCGTAAACGATATAGGAAGAAATTTGTTAAAATGTTAACAACGCTCATCTCTGCATAGAGGGATTATGGATGATTTTCACTTTATTTATAGGTTTTCTGTATCTTTTCCACAATAAACATATATTCTGTGCAATTAGGGAAAAATTGGGGGTTACTTAAAAATAATGAAATAAAAGGCAAGTTCCCTGGCTAGACACAAAAACCTCTTTAGCCCATAACATGACTAAACCATGGTACACATTGATTAGTCAGAGTAAGTACGTTTGATCTACTTTATAAATTCACAGTAACAGCAGTGAGCGCACTGAGCACCTGTGCATCAGCACCATTCTCAGTGCTTCACAAGTGTTCATTTATCTTAACCTGCAGGTGAGAAACGGAGGCCTGAGTAGCTTGCCAAAGTTATATGGCTGCTCAGTGGCAGAGACCATTCCAACCAGTCTCCCACAGATGGCGCCACGCTCACACCCCACGCTGTGTTCCACTTTCTCAGTTGGGGCAGTTCAGCAGCTTCAAAAAGCACATGCACAGTCACTCTCTGGTTGGTAAATAGGAACTACTCTGAAAGGAAGAGAGCGCACAGCCTGCAGCCAGTAGGTGAAACAGGGTCCCTCACATGGCTCCATGGCCATGGCCCAGCCTGAGAATGAAGCATCGAACCCTGAGTCGAGACTCCGTAAATATGTGGTAAGAGCCACAGAGGCAAGCAGCCAAAGGTTGGGAGGTACCCTTCTAACACTAAAGTAGAATTTCTAGGTAGAGAAGGAAAACAGTTTCTGACACACTCCTTGGACAGCTGACAGCATGCTCTCTGAGCTTCATGGCTTTGACTTCTCAGAGCAGGGCTCTTGTCCTGATGCTAACGTGCCTGCTGGGAATGACAGCTCCCTCTTCCCCTGAGCGTCGGACACAGCACCGGCTGTGCCACCCTCCACAGGAGACATGAGAAATCAGTCACTCGGCACATTCTCAGGAGGGCCAGCAGAGAAAGGCTGAGCTAGTGCTCCCCAAACACACCACGGGTCTTAGGTCCCTTTCTGCATCAGCTGCTCCTCAGCAGGGCAGCTCCTGGCCAGGATTTTCACACAAGGTTCCTTCACTCAGTGTCCAGCTCAGATGTCACCTCCTCAGAGGCCTCACGCCAACCCAACCTAAAGTGTCTTCACATTGCCCAGTTTTATTCTCACCAGTGTTCTCCCACCAAACCCCATACGAGTGGGAACCGTGTCTGTCTCGCTCACTTTCAGAACTCCACCACCTAAAGCAAGGGCGGGTAAACTGCGGCCAAGGGCAACAGCTGAGCCACTGTCTGCTTTTGTAAATAAGGTTTTGCTGGAACACGACCCAACTGCTGACTTACATACTGTCTGCAGCTGCTTTTACGCTACTATGGCAGGGTGAGTCGTCGCAGTGGAGACCGTGCAGCCTGTGAAGCCTAAAAAGTTACAATCTGGCCCTCTGCAGAGAAAGGGCACTGACTCCTGACCTAGGACAGTACCTAGCACACAGTAAGTAGGTGAACAAAAACTGTCTGGGGAGGGAGAGAAGGAGAGGAGGAGGAGAAGACAATGGAGGAGGAGAAGACAATGGAGGAGGAAGGTGGAAATTGAGAAGAGGCCCAGGTGCCCACGTGACCTGCCAAAGAGGTGATAGGTAGGAGGCTTACCTGCCTTGGCCCCCACAGTCTCTCTCTTTGGAGGATCAAGACATGATATTTTGTCTGTCCCTGTGGATCTGTCTCTCTCAAACAGCCTGAAGTTAGGTCAAACTTGGCCCCTCTCATGCTGTCACTGTGCTCTGTGAAAGAGCTCTTAACGTCCATTCTAGGGTCACCAACTGCCCCGAGCTTGCCATGGACGAGGGAAGGAGGGAGGAACCCAGGCAGGGAGCCACTGGGCTACTGTCACATTACCATCCTGGGTGGGGTAGGCAGCTGCCACAGGCTCAATACTATCTTCCCCCTGCCCCTGGCAGCATCCCTGAGAAAGATGCCCACCACCACCACCATTTGTTCTTACCCTTTATCAGATGAAATTTCATTATCTAAAACAGGAAGACACCATGTTTCACCTAAGATAGTACCTGAAGACCCGGTCTAGGTCAGCAGGCACAGAGGCAGTTACAGCCTACCTTCAAGGCGGGGCCTTTCTCACTGGCCCTCTCGCTGGCCCGCTTCCCTTCCAGCCCCAGCTGCACAAACAGCTCCAGCAGGTTCATCAGCAGCTCATCCACGAGGTGCTCGTCCTGGATGTTGGCCGCAATGTTGGCCAGGGCATTGATCACAGCCAAGGAGCAGTGCCTGAGGGGAGGGGACTGTCACCCTGGTGGGAAACACCAGCTACCACCACACCCCTGATGCTGCCCCTACCCTTGCCACTTGCCCCGTTTCCAGGGCTGGACCCCATGAGGGGAGTGGGGCAAGCTGACCCAGGCCCTGGGCCTTGGCCTGCCTTATGGCGCTCCCTTCTGTAAACAAAGAATACTTGGGAGGTGATGACAATGTCATCTTTGTAAAAACAACGGCCCCTCAGAGAAAGCCAACTGCTTTTTTTTTTAATTGTTGTAATTAAATGAAATTTACATTTCAAGTTAGTCTCCCAGTTTTTTTTTTTTTTTACATACTTGTTATGAGACCCCAACCGCTCACCCCATTCTGCGACAGCACACTCCTCCCCTCTGTCTCTGATTCCCCATGAACATTCAACCAGCTCCTAACTCTCTCTGCCTTCCCATCTCACCTCTGGACAGAAGCCGCCCCTTTGGTCTTGTATCTACTTGACTAAGAGGCACGTTCTTCACAAGTATCACTTTATGTCCCACAGTCCAGTCCAATCCCTGGGCTTTAGAAATGACTATAATCCCCTTCTTTTGAGATGTATTTAGGGCCTCAAAGGGACTGTTTAAGTTTCAGGAATCTGCACATACAGGGGCTCATGACAGTCTCAGGACATTTCCCTCACAAATGTCCAAGGTCTGCTATAACAGAGCTAAATGTAGATGTACTCGCTCTCAGGCACTGCCCGGCTGGGTCTTGCTTTTTCCCCTCAAACACGTTGTTGTTAGCTGGCATTCAGTCTGCCCCCAACTCATGGTGACCTCATGCAAAACAGGATCAGATGGTTGTGATCCACAGGGTTTAAATGGATGATTTTTCAGAAACAGAACATCAGGCCTTTCTTCCTAGCGTGTCTTAGCCCAGAAGTTCTCCTGAAACCTGTTCAGCATCATAGCAACATGCAAGCTTCCACAGACACAGACAGACGGGTGGTGGCTGCGCATGCAGTGCATTGGCTGGGAATCAAACCCAGGTCTCCCATATGAAAGGCGAGGTTTCTACCACTGAACTACCACTGCCCTCCCTCAAACTATACAGAAAAAACCCCTCCTGCCGTTGGGTTGATTTCAACCTGTAGCAACCCTGTAGGACAGAGAAGAAGTGCCCCATAGGGTTTTCAAGGAGTGGCTGCTGGATTCGAACTGTCCACCTTTCTGTTAGCAGCTGAGCTCTTAACCACTGAGCCACCAGGGCTCCCCCTCAAACTATAGATAGCCTAAATTCATCATCATCACCATAAAACTAGTTGTCATCTGATAATCAGATTTTTCCCAACATTCTCTCTGCCCCGGGGCTGACGCCAAAGGCTTAGGAAGTGATCTGTGGCCCTAGGATATCTGCCTCAGGATCAGGCTGGCCCCGTGCACGCTCCCGTGTGAAGCTGACATCGCCCCTCAGCATACACGCTGCTGAGAGCCGGAGAGGTTAGCTGGGCTTCTGTGGGCAGTCAGACTTCTGCCTACATGCTACGCAACCCTGGGTGCACTGCTTAAGCCTCTGAGACTGTTCCTTCAAGTAACATAAGGGTATAGGGTTGTAGTAGGAATCAAACACTCTACGCAAAGCTCTGAGCGCAGTCTCTGCCACCCAAAAATCACGGAACAGATGGTAGCCATGGTAACAAGGCACATTTCTCAAAGAAAAGATGGATACTTGGTGAGTGAGGGCAAACAAATAGCCATAAATGCTTCCACTGATGAGGACGAGGACAAATCATTACTGGGAGGCAGTATCAGAAAAGGTTTTATGGGAGAAGAACTTGGAGGCAAAGTTTTAGACTTGGTAGCTATCACAAATGGTGAGTATGCACACAGAGTGGGAGAGAGCAACAAGACAGGAGCTAAGACTCAGGGGTGGGGGACAGGGAGGCACCAGAGTCATGACGTTCAGCGCAAAGAAGCAACGAGGGAAGAGGAGTTTGGGTCTGGGTGTTGGTAACACTGCAGAAAGCAGGCTGAGTGGGAGGAAGAAGAGGTCAGTGGCGCTCCCTGCCCAGGCCTCAGGCTGCACAAGTGCTGGGCTCCCAATGGAGTCGAGGAGGCGGCAGTAAAGTAACAACAGTGCCGAAAGCCAGCATTTATTGAGAGCTCCCGTTGTGCCAGAAGACTCTGTTTTAGGCATGTCACATGTACGATCTCATTTAACCCACACACTTGGAAACAGGTGTCACGTGTCAGAGAAGGTAGCTAAGGCACACAGAGGCTCAGTATTTCCTGAGGTCACACAGCCAGTTTGGCTCCACAGCTGACTTTACCCACTAACTGCACATACTCAGGGGGTCTCAAAGAGGAAGGCCTGGATTTCATGGTCAGAAAGTGAGGAGCCTGGATGACAGAGAACAGAATGCCACCAAAAGGCTCGTCATCCTTCTGCCTTCCCTTGTCCCTCTCGTCCAGTGATCTGACGAACTCTTGTGATATTGTCCAGAGATGAATAAATGCATCCCCGTTCTCAAGGCATTGCCAGTTAAGGGCAAGAAACAGACAGCATGCCAGGAAAGACTGGTCAGAATTTATAAAAGTATAAAATACTCAAGAACATAAAATTTCCATTCCCTTCGGTCCACCAAATCCTACTTCTCGGAATCTTTCCTACGGAAAGCATTAAAGACATTCACAAACGTGTAGCTATTAGGTTGTTAAACACAGCACTTACAGCAGAAGAACTGTGATTTAAGACTTTTGCTATGATATGATGGGGAGAATGTGTTTTACATGTGGCAAGGACAGAAGGGGGCCAAACAGTGAAATGTCATGGATTGAATTATGTCCCCCAAAAATATGTGTATCAGTTTGGCTAGGCCATGATTCCCAGTATTGTGTGATTGTCCATTATTTTGTCATCTGGTGTGATGTTCCTATGTGTTGTAAATCCTATCTCTATGATGTTGATGAGATGGGATTAGCAGCAGTTATGTTAATGAGGCAGAACTCAAATCTGTAAGATTGGATTGTGTCTTGAATCAATCTCTTTTGAAATATAAAAAGAAGCCAGCAGAGAGACAACGGAACCTCATACCACCAAGAAAGCAGCACCAGGACTAGAGTGCGTCCTTGGACCTGGGGTTCCTACGCAAAGAAGCTCCTAAACCAAGGGAAGATTGATGACAAGGACGTTCCCCCAGAGCTGACACAGAGAGAAAGCCTTCTCCTGCAGCAGGTGCCCTGAATTTGGACTTCTAGCCTACCAGACTGTGAGAGAATAAACATCGTTTGTTGAAGCCATCCACTTGTGGTATTCCTGTTACAGCAGCACTAGATAACTAAGATAAACTGGAAAACTAGTCAAGCTTCAAGCTCAGGCACTGGCTAGATAAACCACAGTACTGTGACACAGGGAACCGTGCACAGTTATCAAAGGTGACATTCACAGCAGGACTGATGCGCTGCAATGGTGTGCACAGTCTGAGCCTCTGCAGAGCAGCGTGGCTTAGAAAGATGTGCATCAGGACGCTCAGTGGTCGGCTCAGCGGTCGGCCCAGGGGCGGCTAAATGTGCTTTCACTTCTTGCCCATGGGTGTGCATTTATTTGTAGCACACACTGCTTTTGTAAGAAGAAAAGTTTATTTAACAGACAAATTCCCCAACCTCTTATTTTCAAAGGAAGCTAAATACTGTTGTTGTGATGGAAAGTGATAACGAGGCCCAGAAGAGTTACCTATAGCCATGATCCTTGTAGTCCTTAGTGGCTGAGTACACAACGGAGCTGGCCTTCACACTGATCTGCTGGAAGAGATTCCACACCTCCTGATAGATGTATTGCTGGAAAAAAAAATGAGGCAGACCGTTACCATGCCTTGACTACAGCACAGAAGCACCTCTAGGAACACTGAAAATGATCCTCCTTTCTTCATCAGCCAGAGGGAAATCTCTGAGGATTATGGATTATCAGGGCCTAAAAGACCATTGAGGACATCTATTTCTAAAGTTTTAAGCAAACCTCAGATAAAAAGCTAAAAGGGAAACAGCCTCGATTCAAATCCTATTATATGTTATTAATACTGACAAGAAATTAGTTTAGCTCTTTTTCCCCCAGAACTTAGGGAACCATTTACACTACTGTATTCTATTTGAAAAATCTCACTGCTCAGTGCTAAGACAATTGTGAGCATTTCACTCACTTGCAGGGTAAATGAAATCTGTATTTTTACATGTTTTATAATCAAAGGCGTTTAATGAGGCATGCACAAGGTGAGTGGGTTTTAAGGAGCTGGTCTCAAGGGGCTCCCTCACATTTCCAGTGATAACCAGGCAGCCCAGCTGATCGATGATGAGCACATCAAGGGGGGAGGGGGGCTGGCAGAATTTCTGCTGCAGGATCTGCAAAATTGGTTCCATGACCTTGGGAGTGTCCCTCAGGGCCACCGCGATGTGCCCTAAGGCCCGGATCGTGTGGTCGGGAATCAGGTGAGCATCCCTACGGAAAGAGAACAGACACATCTAGGAACAGCTCCCCAGCATGCGGTAGTGAAAAACCTCACTGTAAATCACCAAGAAGCCACCAAACTATGGGAGCTGGGATGCAGAACTCAACTTCCCCAGTCTTGATGAGGCATTAATCCAGAAACGACAGCCAGGGGTCTTTAAGAACCAGAAGAAACATAAAGCCCTAGGCACTAGGCTGGAAGACAGAGCTCCTTCTCTACCCCCAACTGGTGGTCCAGGATATAGACTTCAAGTAGGCATCACGTAAACACCAACTCATGACTACCCTCTATGACCTGGAAAGAGGCACTGCATGATCAGGACTGCTTAAGTAATTCCATCCTGTCGACTATGCCAACTGTATCAAACCAGTCCAGAAAGACTGAGATCCTCCACCTCTGACACCAAATGTGTAGGGAATGATAAACCCCATTCCACGTGCCAACTGCATCCTGTGGAAATCCTAGCCTCTCTTCCCTAGTGAGGTCAGATGCCAGCTGTTCCACACAGCTCTCTCTCTCATCCTCATTCGCCCAGGGTTAGGTGAGCAGGTACTGGCACCTCTCTCATCCCCATTCACCCAGGGCCAGGTCAGAGGGTACTGCCCCTGCCATCCCCATTCACCCAGGGTCAGGTCAGGAACCAATACCTTCTCACTCTCATCCTCATTCACCCAGGGCCAGGTCAGCAGATACTTGCACCTCTCTCTCTTACCCCCATTCACCCAGGGTCAGGTCAACATGTACTGGCCCTTTCTCTCTGTCTTAGGCCCGACAGTCCATTGGAACAACTCATGAACTCCAGGGAAAGAGCTATCTTTAATCTAGCAGAAAAAAAGACACATACATATAGGGCAAGGTCCAGGAGGGGTCTCGACACAGTGTCTCCATGTCCTCAGGAGATGTGCCTACCCTCCTGAGAGAAGATGTTCAATCTCATCACACAGGAAGCTCCACTGAGCCTCTGTCTTCCAAGGCCTTTATCGGCCTCCCCACACGGCCATGATCAAAGACATCATGTCTCCTGAGGCTTAGTCAGCAACAGGCCCCAGGTGGTCCCTCTTGGTTGGGACAGCCCCCACTCACTGGCCTCAGGTGAGGTCCTGCTCTCAGGAACTAAGACCAAAGGGCAAGTTGTTTACTACAAGGGGCTTCCACACCTCACAGGCATAAATACGCACGATGCCAGGTGCCCCCCTACCCCGCCGGTGCGTCCACACCGGCTGCAGTGAAGGGACGTACTTGTCGCTTTCCTGTGAGATGTACAGCCGGTTGGACAGACTGGCCAGGAAGGCCTCCACGATCACTGGGTCCACTGTCAGGCCAGCTTTCAGGCATCTGAGGACACCCACAAGGCAATAAGCATCAAAACTGCTAGATTTTTTCCCTCTTCCCAGGTCTACAGTGTTTAAAGAACTGATCTGAATCTTTTTTAAGAAATTTGAATGAAAGTCACTACAAAGAACGAATTCACAGAACTGCTGCAGACTTTGCCCACATGATAAATGTCTCAATTAGAAACAAACAAAAAAACCCAAAGCCATTGCTGTCAAGTCAATTCCGACTCATCGTGACCCCAAGTGTTACAGAACAGAACTGCTCCATAGGGTTTTCTTGGCTGTAATCTTTATGGAAGCAGATCACCAGGCCTTTCTTCTATGGTGCCACTGGCTACGTTTGAAACACCAACCTTTAGATTAGTAGCCAAGAGCAAACTTTATGCCACCCAGGAACCATCAACTGGAAACAAGAGCTTCATTATTTTGCCCAGAACAGTTTCCTTTCGAATATCACACTCAGCCTGATTCCAATTTTAAATTTCCTATACTCTTTCCAAAAAAAAATTCACAGGAATGGACTCAAAAGATAAATGGTCCCAAGATAGCTGTGGGAATACAAAAATTATATATGGTTTTAACAGCATGGAGAAATGCTTCTATTATAGAGAAAAGGGAAAATAAAAAAAGCTCCTCAGAACATGGAATCTTTCAAGGTGTCTCCTGCGCTGCATCTGTTTGGCTCCTGGGCCACAGAGTGGTCTGCAGAACTGGCTTGATTTAGTTGCTCAGAGCAAGAAGCCAGAATCCAAGAGGGAGAGTTATATTTTGATGTGAATGAGAATTTATTTGGTCCTGAGTTTAGAGAACAAAAGTTCACATAGCAGAGTCTGAGTAGCAAGGGATACCTACTCATGTAAAAGCTCTCATTTATATTTTAAGAAAAAGAAACGGGAGTCCCCGGGTGGTGCAAATGGTTAATGCACCCAGCTGGTTGGAGGTTTGAGTCCATCCAGAGGCACTTCAAAAGAAAGGCCTGGCAATCTACTTCCAAAAGATCAATTACTGAAAACCCTATGGAGCACATTTCTACTCTGACACACATGGGGCTGCCATGAGTCAGAGTCGACTCAGTGGCAACTGGTATACTAAAAATAGCACAGAAAAAAGATGAAATGCGAAAGTGTTGTTACTTTAAATGGTGGGCTGGTGTATAATTCTTTCCTTTCTATTTTATACATCACAAATTTTCTTTAACATGTATTTTGAATTACGTTTATGACCAGAAAAATGAAGGAAGCTTTATGTTTTGATTCAATTTACAACTAACAATTTTATTTGTATAGTCTGATGATGAACAACTGAAAATTGAAACTCAAAAACAAAAGTATTTTAAAAATACTAAATATGAAATAGGGATAAATTTGACCAAAAAAATTGTGACAGACTTCTCGGAGAAACAATCCTTCTTTGGCCTACAGAACTCTTATGCTCCTTGGTGGGCATGTCAAGTTTGTAAGGCTCTGACCATTATTTCATTCAGGCCATTTCTCAGGGCTGGTAATCTTAAAAGATGAGATAATGTCTCCCCTCAGCTAAAGAGAAGGCTTACTTATTGCCTGATACAAAAGCAATGGAGTCTCCAATCTCAGTGTTCCTCCAAAGCAACGCAACAACACTGTGTGTACAGCATCCACGTGGTCCACTGCACCACTCTCACAAAAGGTGGTGACAACGGAAAAAGACTGATGGTTATGTTACTGGCACTGACATGCATTTTTTTGTTTTAACTTTTTTTTGATTGTTGTACTTTAAGTGAAAGTTTACGATTCAAGTTAGTCTCTCATACAAAAATTTATACATACCTTGTTATGTGACCCTAACTGCTCTCCCTATACTGTGGGAGCACACTCCTCCTTTCCACCCCTGATTTCCCGTGTCCATTCAACCAGCTCCTGACCCTCTCTGCCTTCTCATCTCACCTCCGGACAGAAGCTGCACATTTAGTCTCATGTATCTACTTGAGCTAGGAAGCACACTCTTCACGAGTATCATTTTATGTCCCATAGTCCAGTCTAATCTTTGTCTAAAGAGTTGGCCTCGGGAATGACATGAGTTCTAGAAGTTTACCTTTTTAGAATATGTAATAATTCTTCTTTTTAGATAAAGTGTAGGTTTGGAACAATCAGAAATAAGCTTTAAAATACCATGTTGTCGCTGTTTACTGCCATCAAGCCAGCCCCCAACTCATGGCGACCCCATGCACACTGCAACAAAATGCTGCCTGGTCCTACAGCATCCCCATGATCAGCTGGGAACTGGACCATGTTCTGGTGTGACCCATAGGGTTTTGATTGGCTGATTTTCGGATGTAGTTTGCCAGGCTTTTCTTCCTAGTCTATCTTAGTCTGGAAGTTGCACTGAAACTTGTTCAGTACCACAGTAACACACAAGCCTCTGGTGGTGGCTGCACTGCACATAAGGTGCGCTGGTTGGGAATCAAACCTAGGTGTCTTACATGGAAGGCAAGGATTCTACCACTGAACCACTACTGTCCCTTAAAATATGATATATGTTTCTTATTTTATAACAGGCCTATGTCTGGAACACAGTTTTCTTCCTTCCCAGGTAATGAGGCACAGGTAACTGTCACATAACCAGGCACACCAACCTGCAGATGTTGTCGATGGCGATGTCTCGAAGCTGCTCGTACATGGAGGGCTGGCTCTTCTTTCCCGACATAACATTCAGGGTCGACTCAGAATGCTCATTGGTTATGCTGATTTTTATATCATTGCCAGCAACTACATGTAAATTCAAATATGCACCTGGTTGAGCCTGTCAATTTCCACCCCCTTTTTCATCCTTCAAAAACCAAGAACGCGCTGATCACTTCTAGTTTATAAAACAATCACTCTAAAGAATCTGATCAAACACTTCAGAGACAAAAGACAGCCTGAGACCAACAGAAAGGATGAAACGAACATGCTCAAATCAAACGGAAACATGTTTAGATAACAAAGTGACAAACAGGGACCACATGTATCCAGCCCTGATCCTAAGTGAGACAGCAATAAGCCTGAGACATAGGCCTGTCCTTGAGGTCATATCCAGCTAACTGAAGAGCACTAACATTCACACAGTCAGTGAGGGTGAAGAAGGGTGTGAGAGCAGGGACCTCATAGTCAGGGAGACCTTCACGTGCTACGGGGCCTGGGGCAAGTCTTTCAACTTTGGGTTTCTTCATCTGAAGGGCAAGGGTGCCCACCTTCCCAGGACGTGATTAAGACGAGCAACACGACATTAGAGGCCCAGGACCTGGCAGGTGTCTAGTCACTGCGAGCTGTCACTTGGTCACAGACTTGCTCTGAGCCTTTGTCTCTAGAAGCATCACAATGCACTCTCACATGGACAGTGGGGCTGGATGAGACAGTGCAGCCAAGTTACTGGCCCAGCATCTGGGACACACAACATCCACACTTAGATGACCCCAGTGGAAGGAGGTGTCAAAAGAAGAATGGGGCTGCAGAGGCTTCCAGTACTGGCAGGAGTAAATGCCTAGGGAGGCAGAGAGAGGAAAGGCCAGGAGGCTAGGGATGGACAGAAGGAGGCGAAAGCCCAAGTGCAGGGCAGAGCAGATAGCGCCAGCACAGCAACTACAGTCACCAGCCTCTGTTGGGTCCACACAAAGTCACGTGGTCCTGTTCTCAGACACTGGGGGGCACACGAGGGATGGGTGCTTGAGATGAGACATGACAAGGTCATGCTGGTTACCTGTGTGGTACTGACTGTGGTACTTGTACAGCTTCACCAGCACCGGGGATGGGATGACCAGGAAGTCTCGCAGAGATGGCGTCACTGAGTGCACCACCACTGGGAACCTCTCACACAGGCGACCCAAGCCCTGCAACACAGGAGCCAACAGTCACGGGCCTGGGAGGGACTCATTCCCAGCCAGTCTTGGGCAACAAGGTACTTAATTCTTCCCAGGTGGCTGAGCTTGACCAAAAACTTTCATGGTCAAAGTTCCCAGGGGCCACTTCCCCATGAGAAAAGACAGGAAAGGGGGATGGTCTTAACTCTCTCCCACCTAAGGGAGCTATATATTGTTAAAGTGCACTTATTTCTTCTGGAAGCAAATTAAGGGAGAAAGGGCATAAAATGGGATTTTTAAACAATGGCAAGCGTGGAGTCACTGGGATCTGCAACAAGAGAAGAGTCCCGGCAGAGCAGAGCTAGGTTCTGCGGATGTCAGGACACTTCTGACCACGTGGTCCTAATGGCACCTGTCCACAGCCCTCTACCTGCTGGCTCTGGGAAGGAGGAACCAGTGGCTCTCATTGAGGCAGGTTGTGTCTGGACCCGACCTGCAGAGATCCGTAGTGCTGGAGGCCCAGCCCACACTCTTGGGTGACCCACATCCAACAGCTCAGACCACTGAGTCTCTGCTACTGGTGTGGTAGGTTCCCCAACCATAGCCTGAGCAATCTGACAAACATACCATCTGGTAGGTGATATATGTGCAGGTGAGACTGACCTGCAAACAGCAGATCAGCAAGGGCAAGTGAGCAATGATGACTTTGCTGGATGTCTTGGACTGCAGCTTCTCGGACAGCTTGATACAAAGATTTTCTGCACCTTAATGCAAAATCAGAGGAGGGCACGAATGATTAACAAAGTCCGACACTGACAAAATACTTCCAGCTAACAGCCAGCTGCCATGGAGTTGACTCCAACTCATGATGACCTCATGTGCATCAGAGTAGAACTGTTCTCCATAGGGTTTTCGATGGCTGATTTTTCAGAAGTAGATCACTAGGCCTTTCTTCCAAGGCACCTCTGGGTGGACTCAAACCTCCAATTTTCAGTTACCAGTCAGGTGTGTTAGTCGTTTGCACCATCCAGGGACTCCCACAAAATTCTTGCTCACCAATTAATCATATAATTCAATTAAATTTCAGAGACATACTTTTAGCAGGGCTCACGAATACTGGGAGGTGACACTAGAAAGTGTATGGAGGCAGGTATCCTTAGCTGAATTTCAACTTTGTGAAAATACTTTCCTACTATCTCCTCTGCTTGCCGGCGGCCTCCACGCCCTCCAGTGCCCTGTGCTTGGCAGCCATTCTTCTGCCTTTGTTGATGGTTTACATTCTACAACTTACCCTAGGGAGTCCCTGGGTAGTGCAAGTGGTTAACTTGCTCAGCTGCTAAACAAAAGGTTGGAGGTTTGAGTCCAGCCAGAGGCACCTTGGAAGAAAGTCTTGGCTATCTACTTACAAAAAAAATCAGCTACTGAAAACCCTATGCAGCACAGTTCTACTCTGACACACATGGGGTCACCATGAGTTGCAGTCAACTCGATGCAATTGGTTTTTTACTCACCCTAGACAAACTTGATCCTCCAGCACTGAGCTCCCACTTCTCCAAAGAAAAGCTTAAAGAACCAGCAGAAGCAGTGGGAAGAACCCAAAGGCCCTAAGGCATTGAGTGTATCACCATCCACCCCAGGTCTGGTTCCCTCAACTGCAGGACAGGGCACTAGATCTGCCTCCTCACAGCAGACAGGGCCTGACTGCTCAGGTTGATACCAGAGCTGGGTGTTCTAAAAGTCATTTTTGGAAACCTATGGTCAGAATGACTCTGGGGCACCTGGCGCTCACATGGAGTGGCCTGGCTGTCTGCGGAGCAAGCCACTCAGCTCACCCTGCTCGTCCTTCACAGCCCACACCATGAGGTCCACGCAGGCAGCACTGGCCTGGCAGCGCAGCTTGAGGGGGCTGAGCTCACTGTGGATTCGGTCAGCATCATGAAGAATCTTCTGGAGCTCCCCCTGGCTCGTGTTGAACTGCTCCAGCACAAAATCATGGATCTCCTTCACAAAGGAGGTCGGGAGGTCTGCAGAAAGGAGAGCAGGCATCACAACCAGAAATAGCGTTGCAGCAAAACACTGGCAGTGGTGGTGCATATTTAAGGTCCTTCCACTCTCAAACCAAAACCCAAGACAGGGGTGTCTGTTGCTGGCTATGGTGGTTCCAGAATGTCCTCGGGGAAGAACGTGGAGAGACTGCGCACAGTTGTCCTCCACACACATACTGACTAGCAGGCAGAGGAGATGATAATTTCCCAGGGACATGAGAGCCATGCTTTGTTTTAAGCAGTCACTAAGCTAAAATCCGAATTTATGAAATACATAAATTGGGATGTATTATCACTGGGACTGGTTCAAATGACAATGGGAAATGCTTCGGTGATGTTAAAAAAGATTATCAGCTATCAAAGCAAGGCAAAAACTGGCTGCAGCCAAAACAAGAGGATTCCCTGACCACAAGGCTGGACCTCTGGAGCACCACTGCTGGCAGCCTTTTCAAACAGTCATCCTTGGGGCCTGGAAGATTCAGGAGAACCACAGAGATGGAGTCAAGTCAGAACCAGCCAAGAAAGCCAGGAATCCCTTGAAACCCTTCCTTAATGAGCCCAAACTCTCTGTGACCCTAAACAGACCCTGCTTCCCAAGAGCTCTCTGACTCAAATTAGGAAATGATTAAGTAAATAATGGTGCCTCTATATGACAGAATGCTAGGTGGTCATCAAAACTTATGCTGATGACAAACATTTAATAACACAAGGGAAAAGCACAGGAAAAATGTCAACAAAAAACGCACAAAAGAGAGACTAGAAGGAAATGCAGAATTTTGGGGTGTGCGCTGAACTATTAAAGACATTATCTCTGAGTTATAAGATTCTAAGTGCCTCATTTTCTTCTTTTTAAAATTTCTAAAGTAAACATGTAAAACTACATGCATTATTAAAACAACATAACAAGTACCTGTTAGGAAAACACCTTAGGAAAACCTCCTAGAGAAGCCACCACTGATGATATTGGGATTGCAAGATCAGAACAGGTTTTTCCCTATTATTTACTTTTTTCCAAAATTTCAGTAATGTGAGTAAGTCCCTCAGATAGTTTTTTTATGTGGCTCCAGCAGAAAGGCAAAGACCTGTGGGCAGGGGCCCCGGTCCCAACCTCTCCGCACACGCACGGCACTTGCACACACGTGGCTCTGTTTCGCTTGTGCAAATGGTCCTCACCCTTCATGCAGTATAGAGTGTCCCGCAGCATCTTGAACATGGCCACGTAGAGTGGGTCGCTGAAGGTGGAGTAGTAGAGGTCTGCACCGGGGTTGGCCTGCAGGGAACCAGACGCACTGATCACAGGGCAGAAACCCATCACAGTCCCCCTCCTCTCATGCTGAGGAGCGGTCAGGTTGCTACGTTCGTGATTTAGTATTACAAGTAGGGGGCCGTTTATCATGACTCATCACTTGGAACACTTTAATCACGCTCTTCGCCCTCTTGGTATCAGGACAAAGGCAGCAGGAGACTCATGCAGTCGGGAGACACCCGTGGGGAGGAGCCATCTGCACCTTAAGGAAGAAGCACCTTCCCCCCCTGAAAGACTGCCATCTGTGGCCTGAGGGGGATGCTGGAAGTGGAGGAGGAGGCAGGAGCCAAGGAGATAGCCAGACCGGCGGGCTCCACCCTGCACACAGACACTACAGCCAGGGCACCTTCACGCTCAGCTGACATTCCATATCTAGAACTCATTTTTGGGTATGCTTTAGCAATCTAGTCCAAAATGTAGCACAATTTTTCTTCTGGGGAACAAATGCGTGGAAGTCCTCATGAGTTGAATAAGACACAGTGCTTAACTTCAATACACTCCCCAGTATAGCAGGATGGAAAGTCGTGGTTTATTAGAATTCCTGATGTGTATTAGAACCGACACATGTAAAAGTTTCTGCAAACACAGAAAAGGAGATGTGGAGGCAAGTGTGCTGAGGGACACCAGGCTGGGCAGGCAGAGCGTCTGTGCCAGGTAGCGAGGGGCATGGGAACCTACTGGTTCTAAGTAAGCACCGGCGAGAGCTGCAGCTCATGGAGGGCCTTCGACAGGCGCCGCTCCAAGCGCTTCACAGACCTCATTTCGGGGTCCTCACAGCAACTCTGTGAGGCAGGGACCATGCAGAGATGAAGAAACTGAGACTTCAAGAGGGCAAAGCTGCACAGAAGAAGCCTTCCTCTTCTTCCCCAGAAGAAGTTGGCAGAGGACTGGCAAGCATGGAGAAGAGACAGGGAAGACCATCTGAAAAACTGTTAAGCCTCAGCACTCTGGAGCCAAACTGCCTGGAGCCACACTGCCTGGAGCCACATCCCGGTCTCATCACTCACTAGTATGCAACTGAAGTTCCTGAACCCTGTAAGCCTCAGCTTCCCCAAGTAATTAAAAGAGCAACTGTGTAAAGTCCTATCACAATGTCTGACACACAGCAAGCATGCAATAACTGCTAGTGACTATTATGTTGCAGGACAGTCCCTGGGTGGAGCGAACAGTTAACATGCTGGACCGCTCACAGAAAGGTTGATGGTTCATGTCCACCCAGATGTGATTAGGAAGAAAAGCCTGGCGATCTACTTTCAAAAAATCGGCCACTGAAAACCCCATGGAGCACAGCTCTACTCTGACACACATAGGTCGCTATGGGTTATAGCTGACTCAACAGTGACTGGTTTTTTACTATATTGGCAATAACTCCTAGGTCAGGGATTTCAAGCATTTTTTTTTTTGTTACAGCACCATTTCTTCAAGTGGAAGTTTATACTAAAGTCCCAATTATAAAACAAAAGTACTCAAAATTGCTCTGGTTCAATGGGAAGTGGGGGTCCCAGAGTTCCAACATTCTCACCTTTTGCCTTGAGCCCCTAGGACATGCCCTGAAGGGGTTCCCCGCAGCCCCCACCCCCCACCCCACAGCCTCCACTTTTTCCTTGGGACGTGGACTAACAACCTTTGTTACAGACAGGCATAGGCCTGACAAATCTCCAGTCATCCTGACTGTCCAGCCCAGACCAGCCAATCCCGGTCCTCCGGGTTGGCCCTGGTCACATGTGACAGCACACTGACAACAGAAACCAACAGGTTCCCGAGGCCGAAAGGCAAGGCATAAGGAGAGCACCAAAGCCAGTAAGATGGTCAGAACAGCCAGCTGCAAAAGGGTTGAAGGCAAGGCAGGAAAGTGTCAGACTGCAACTGGGGGAGTTTGAGAGCTGTGTCTTTTTCAGTCAAGAGCAAATCTGTAACAAACCACATCCCGCAGACACATCCAATATCTGCTAACAGCTCCCTGACAGCTAGTGCAGAGAAGGAAAGACCCAGCTCAGAAAGCTCCGTGGGAGCTCCCTCCCTGCTGCATCCCTAAGCCCCTGTGCACTGTATAACTGGGTGAGTGGAAGAACACTGTGTTTCATCAAGGAAATCGGGATCCAGCACACAACTTAACAAACATCACTTTCTCTCAATCCTAACACTAAAAAGAAGACTAACCCAGAGGTTCCCTGAGACTTTTAGCTCTTTCAGGACAAAAAGTTAATGATTTTATACATAATGCTGTAGTTCTTGATTCCAAATACATGAAAGACCAAAAGACACCGCTTCCACTGAAAGGCCAGGGCTCGCATATGCCTGAGAAGCACAGCTCTGAGTCTGGAGAAGCTGTTTCAGAAGCACAGAAGATAAAAGAGCACAGATGTGGACTTAGGTGGGCCGAGTCTGACCCCCGCTCCGATGGGCACCATGTGCCTCAATCTTCCACCCGTGAAATGGGGACACTGGCTGTCTTTCAAAGGCATGGGTGGGTGGTATACTTCAGAGAGACTGGCATGGCCTGACACAGCTGGGCACCGAGCAAACCCTCAGGTAGCAGGTGTGCTGTGATTATGTGGTCAAATGAGTTCTTTTATGTGGCCGTTTGCCTTGGTTCCTTGGAAAAACTGCTTGAGAGATTTTCCCCCTAACCTCTGAGGAGATACATTTACCCTAGTTTTCTATCCCAGAGGGTTTGTTAATTTTGTTCAGGCTAATTATACATTTCCTGGGTAAATGTAAACAACTTGTGGTTTGATACTTTTTGTCTGGTCATGGGCTGCAGCCTGCCCTGTGACTGGTCTATTTTACACACCTTGCAGGGATTGGTCAATATACACTTGACTATGGCCTACTATGCAAATGAAGTGTCTGTGGCCTACCCAGAAGGGATTGGTGAGTTCGCAGCCTTGGAAGGGCCATGCTTTGGAAGTGACCACGAGTCTACTTATATATGCCGCCAACCCCACAGAGGTAGGCAGACAGAAAGAAGAAAGCAGCAGAAAGGAGAAAAGGCAAAAAAGGCAAGAAGAGAGGATGTGAGGGACCTCTTAAAATAGCTGTAACATGAGATAAGAGCTGTAACACTGAAGACAGCAAGAAGAATCAGTGGTGATGGCAGAAACCTGCTTCCAGGAATGCAGTTAAGACAGCTGAACAAAACTCGTACACTGGCTATGAGGTGCGTGAGTTAGCAGTGGAGAGGCTGATGGCAAGGAGGCCAAAGGCAGAGAGGCCTGTCCTCAAGAGGCCAAGAGGAGGCCTGTACTGAGGGGGCTGAGAGGAGGCCTGTACTGAGGGGGCTGAGAGGAAGCATGTCCTCGGAGGGCTGAGAGAAAGCCTGTCCTCGGAGGGCTGAGAGGAAGCCTGTCCTCGGAGGGCTGAGAGGAAGCCTGTCCTCAGGGGGCTGAGAAGAAACCTGTCCTCAGGGAGCAGACAGTAGGTCTGTCCCAAAGGGGGTGAAAGGAGGCCTGCATGGTTGATAAGTGTAGAGGGCAGAGAGAAGGCCTGCTTGCTTTCCTGGCCAAGAGGAGCTCAGAGGACTGTCTTACACATAAGAAGGAAGAGATGTGCTCCTCTCTTTGGAAGAGTGTTTCAGACTTTGCCTGCGTGCTTCCTGATCCTGGTCCTGAGTGATCCTGACCCTGAGTTGCACCCCATTACGTCCTTAATAAATCACTTAACTCTGTGTATGGTCTGAGTTCTGTGTGGCCATTGCAACGGATTATCGAACCCAGAAGAGAAGTAGTGTGTGCCATGGGAGGGATGGCTGGTGTCAGAACTGGTAAAAAGTTTGGAGTGTGAAGGTATGTCTGCTCTCTACCTCACAGAAATCAGTTTTGGGCTGATGCTGGTTCTCATTATCCCCCCTAAAGTTAAACAGGTTCTGATGCTATTACTACTACCATTTTACAGATTAGGTGCAACTGGGAAGATTAAACTGAACACTCACTGCCAAGCCCCTTTCACTCTGGCCCACACAAACTCTTCCTGTGTTCTACACACAGGAGTTGCAATGGGGCTAACCTCACTGAGAGGCCCTCAGGAAGGACCTACCTCTGTGACACTGGCTACGACGGCATCCAAAGACTTGAGAACAGGCTCCTCGACGATCCTCTTCACCTACCAAGGAAACACAACCTCATGAGCCAAGCGACAAACAGGAATGCTAGCTCCTTTTACCAAAGCCACAGAATAAGCTCGTGGAGTACCAAACACAATGTGATCAATGGGCCAACAATATACAAAGTATAGCTACATAACAAATTATTTGTTGTTCTTAGTTTAGTTGCCATGGAGTCAATTCCAACTCATGGCGACCCCATGTGTGCAGAGCAGAATTGCTCCACAGGTTTTGAAGGCTGTGACCTTTCAGAAATAGACTGCCAGGCCTTTCTTCTGAGGCACCTCTGGGTGGGTTCAAACCACCAATCTTTCAGTTAGTAGCCAAGCGTGTTAACAATTTGTGCCACCCAGGGACTCTTTATACACACAAAATGCCCTTAATTCTGCCATTGCTTGGAACTTCTTTTCTTGTCCTGAATCAAAATGACATAAAAACAAAGAAAAGGAACCAATTCCCTCAAGCTTGCTAATACTAAATTTCCAGCTCTTGGACGTGACAGCAGGGGTACTCTGTGCAGCACTGACACTTCGCACACCCACAGATAAAGCACAGCTGTAAGCCACCCTCCCACAGTCCCTCCCAGGCATCAGGGACACCTTCACAGCCATGCCTCAGGTGCTAACAGCACTTCCTTCCTCCTCAGGCCTCACAGGATTGGCACTTCAGAAGCTCACACTATTGTACACGTTCCGAATGTCTAGCAGAAGCAATTGTTTCCACCCCTTCTCTGTATCTGCATTTAGTAAAGGGATGAACTGTTCCGTAAACTGCAGAACCACCTGATGAAACACACCTTCCCCCCTGACTACAGAACTTTAAGAAAGTCATTTTCAAAATATATAGATAATACAATATAGGAATCCCTGGGTGGCGCAAATGGTTAAGTGCTCGGCTGCTAACCAAAAGGCTGGTGGTTCAAGTCCACCCAGAGGCACTTCGGAAGAAAGGTCTGGCAATCTACTTCCGAAGTTCAGCCAATGAAAACCCTGTGGAGTACAGTTCTACTCTGACTCACATGAGGTCACCATCAGTTGGAGTAGACTTGAAGGCAACTAGTTATAAACCAGTTATCTGTAAGATAATAGAAACATGTCAGGAGAAGAAATAAAAACTTGCCTAAAAGAAAACCTAAGTTTGATAAGTTAAAATATATTGGAAAAAAAATTTCCCCAAGGGACAATCTGAAACATTTAGTCTTCAGTTATGATTCTCTGATATATTATACAAGGAAAAGCCCCCTGAGAAGGCCACAGCCCACCCAAGCCACCTTCTGCCCAGGACAGTGGCATTGAGAAGCAAATCAGGAGTGTTTTCCTTCTTGACCTCAAGTTCAAAAGTGAGGGATGTGTTCCAGAATACCCTGGGTTATAATAATCTAATAACTGACTATGGTTCTATTCTTGCACTTCAGCCTAAAGCCATCCTCTTTGGGTGCTGACCCCCATTCAGTACACAGAGGGGGGTGGCTGTTGTCCGCAGCGCATGTGCTCGTTTAACACCAAGCCCCTGTCCCTCACCCAGAGGGTTGCATGCTGTCAAAGGGATCCTTCTCACTCTCGTTCCTTATTTCGCAAACAGAAAGTTTGCTCTTTAGCATCTGTCCTTGATGATGCCCTCACCCCTAACACTGGAATCTCTTGGACAATATCAGAGCCCCTGGACCCGACCAAAGGCCTGCCTATCAAGGGCTCTACCAGTGGCACCAATGCCTTCTCTGACATCACCTCAAAGACCAAAGACACCCACATATGATCAATTTAGGTTCTGTATTAACCTAAGCCCCTTTCACTCTGGCCCCACACAAAATCCAATCAGAGCAGACCTTGGAGGGACTCAGGTGCAGTGGAAAGGCACTGGAGTTGGAGGCAGAATCCATGGCTGCACCCTGCCCTGCCCTTGGCCTGTGCATCCTTCACGTACTTGACATCCATTTTCTTACCTGTAAACTGGGATTCATGACCTGCCTCCCCACATGGTGGCTAGATTAAATGAGAAAGAATCGCACTCGATCCTTCTTTAATCTCCAAATATATAACTAGGGAGCTGTACTTTGAAATACTGTGTACTCTTAAGGTTTTCTTTGAAGAAATACAGGCTTTCTATGGCCACTGGAGACCCTTTTAGCTCAGTAATGAAGTCACTCCTGAGGTTCACCCTTCAGCCAAAGATTAGACAGGCCCATAAAACAAAACAAGACTAAAGGGGCACAC